TGGTCCTGGAACAAGTTGCTGTGTTACTATGATTCCTTTCTACTCCATGTTCAACAGACTACTACATAAGTAGTTAAAATTACTGGATTTCATACTTGAATAAATCATTGGATAAAGATTCCTCAAAATGAAAGAGCTAATCTTTTTCTCAGTGTAGCACTATAGCTTTATGTCAGTTCAGTAAGCTTACCCTCTGGAGCATTCTCAGTAAAACTCTAGAAGCAGACAGGACAGCAGGGTTAATAAGGCAGCTAGATGACAATGAGTAGAGGGCTGGCCCTGTAGTCAGGAAGAACTGGGGTTGAATCCAGTCTCAGACACTTATTAGCTGTGTGACTCTGGGCAAGTCACTCTCTGCCTCTCTCTGCCTCAGTTTCCTCAATTGTAAAATGGGGATCAACGTAGTACCTATCTCATAGGAGTATTGAGAGGATCAAGTGAATACCTGTGAAGAATGGTGCCTGGTACATAATAGGAGCTTAACAAATATTTGTTCTCTCCCTCTCTCCCAAAGCAAATTACCCCTTCCTGGCCACTGCTCTATATCTGTTGTCTACTCAAATTATGTCATAGACTCTTTATGTGCAGGTACTGTCTTCTTTTTAAATTTTGAATCCCAGTTTTTAGTACTTCACATGCGGTAAGCAGTTCATAAACGTGTTTTCATTCATTTATTCATTCATTAAGTTGCACCTTGGGACTTTTTGGTATATCCTTTTTGCTTTTCAACCAATGAATTATTTTCTTATTTTTAGAGTTTTTTGGATGATACAAGTTGTGAGTGTTTTGCATAAAGTATATAAACATGTAATTGTTGCACGTTTGAAGGTAACACTAATTTCTCATCTTTTTAGAACAGACGTGATATCTTCTGTTAAGAAAGGTGGGGTTAGGCGTATTTTTGAGAGGGAGCTAATAAAGTGTCTTAATAGTAATTAGTGATCCAGTGTAAACTATTTGAGACAATCATTTTATCTCTTATGCAGATCTGCTACTGTGCAGCTTTGTCACCTTCCCTGACATAACTGTTCCTTCATGCATTATAATAATGCTGTATAATCTTTCTCTTTCTTTATTCAACTTGTGTTTTTTTTGTACTTGACTTCTTATAACCATATAGATGCCAAGAGCTTTTCCTCATCCTTCTTTATTGCCACTGATTTCTTTACTACTTGTCTCTATAACAAACTTTTGATTTATAATTAATTGTTTTGTTCTTTGTGCTGTTTTGAGTCCTAGAATAATTTTTAACATTTTGACTTTTACTTTCAGTTATTGATTAAGGGAATCTAGAATTTCTAGGATACCTCTGTTTTCCTGATCCTTTTTATACATTTCTTTTTTCTTGCTTTTAATTGGGTGATAGTGTTTTCATGTTTTCTGTTGCACATACCAATTATTTATGTAATGTTCCAATGACTCTCTAAAGGTCTTCCATAGTTCTCTCAAGCTGTTTCTGCCATGATGGTATTTGACACCTAGAGGGTGTCCTGGAGGGTATTCTTAGATAGGTTCATCTTTCATCTTACCTTGGTCATTGCTACTGCATATACTGGCTATGTGCACATCCCAAAACATTTTTCTACTATGGAATAATATGTTTATTTAAGATAGAGTATGTACTAGCTTTTAAAAGTTACTCTAAAATTGTATGTTTATTCTGCTTGTTGTATTCAAGTTGTCAAACTTTCTAGCATTCTAGTCTAGTATGCCCATCTCCTTTACAAAAATCATTAGATGCATTATTGGTGGAGTTGTGAACTGATCCAACCATTTTGGAGAGCTATTTGGAACTATGCCCAAAAGGCTATAAAAATGTGCATACCCTTTGATCCAGCAATAGCACTTCTAAGTCTATATTCCAAAGAGATTATACAAATGGGAAAAGGACCCACATATACAAAAATTGAGGGGATACCTATCAATTGGGCAATCACTGAACAAGTTGTGGTATATGAATGTAATGGAATACTATTGTGTTGTAAGAAATGATGAGCAAGTGGACTTCAGAAAAACCTGGAAAGACTTATATGGACTGATGCTGAAAGAAGTGAGCAGAACCAGAAGAACATTGTACATAGTAATAGCCATGTTGTGCTATGATTAACTTTATTGGACTTAGCCCTTCTCATCAATGCAAAGATCTAAGACATCTCCAAAAGTCTCATGATGGAAAATACTATCCACATCCAGAGAAAGAACTGTGGAGTTTGAATGCAGATTGAAGCATACTGTTTGCTCTTTTTTTTTCTTCTGTTTTGTTTTGTTTCCTCTTTCTTGCAGTTCCTCCTATTGGTTCTAATTCTTCTTTACAACATGACTAATGTGAAAATATGTTTAATAGGAATGTATATGTAGAGCCTGTATCAGATTTCACACTGTCTTGGGGAGGGAGGATGTGAAGGAAGGGGGAGAAAATTTAAAACTCAAAAGCTTATGGAAGTGATTGTTGAAAACTAAAAATAAATAAATTAATTTAAAAAATCATAAGAGATTTGCCTGCTGTTTTTCTTTCCTTTTTCATTACTGGGTCTAATTCCTAGAGTTTTTATTAAGTAAATACTTTCAATGGCCTGAAGATCTTCAACTTTTCCCTCTTTAGGTTTTAGTAGTTTCTCAGTTTTATTTAATTTTAAATCTAATCTAAGCTTAGATGTTTGGGTGTTTGTTTTAATGATTGCTGTGTTCTGCTCAGCAGCACACTGCTGTGTGACTTTAAGCTGAGGTATCATTGACAAAAAAACAATATTAAGCCGTTGTCTGTTGTGATGTTTCTGATTTTGTTCTGAGATTGTACTGGCAAGGAAGGAAGGAAGAGAGGGAAGGAAAGGGGGAAAGAAGGAAGAGAAAGGAGGAAGGAAGAAAGGAGGAAAGGTAAGATAGAAGGGAGGAAGGGAAGAAGGAAGGAAGGAAAAATAAAAAAAGGTATTTATGATATGCTTGTTTTGAGCAATGCACTGGGGATACAAACAGAAAAATGCCTTCCCTCAAGGAGCTCACATTTTAATGGGAAGACAATATAAGAGGGAATAAGTGGTAGGATAGATGATAAGGTCTAGTGGTCTGAATGACAGGTAATTCAGATTGGCTTGAATGTAGAGGAGATATAACAGTGATATGCAAAAGCTTCTTTTTTTAAAATAATAAAATAATATAATAATAAAGATTTTAAGCACATAATAATAATATATCACATTAATACAGCACTTCAAGGTTTATAAAGCATTTTACACAAATTATCTCATTGTATCTTCACAATAACTCTGTGAAGTAGGTAGTGCTATTATACCCATTTCACATATTAGGAAAGTGATACTGAGAGAAGCTAAGTGACTTGCCCAGGATCTCACAACTAGTAGATAACTGAGTCAGGATTCAAATGTAGGTCTTCTTAACTACAAATCCAGTGTGGGGTCATTTTAATTGACAAAACCATATCCATTTCTGATGCTGAACCATCTGACAGTGCCAAGAAATTGGGTGAATTTTCTTTTTTTTGGATTTCAATAACATGGCAGCTAATAAGGGAGGGCCAGAATAGAAGAAGCAATTGCTAAGCTCAGGCTACACTGGAGTTACTCCCCTGGACAGTGGTGGACATTGGGCTGCAGGCCAGTAGCCTGGGCCCTAGGGGGCACTGCTTATTTTCAGGGCTTTGGGATACAGAGTCCTGGTTTGCCTCCATTGGTATCTAAGAGAAGATGGTACTCAGAAACTTTGCATTAAGCACCCTATGATAGAGTTTTATCTTGTTTTTCAATGCTATCTAGTTCTATTTTCTTCTATTTCTAATAGGTACTTGAATGAATGAATCAATCAATTAATAAGCATTTATTGTTTACTATGTACTAGGTAATATATTAGGCATCAAGAATGCAAAGACAGAAATGATATAGTCCTTTCCCTCAAAGAGCATACACAAGCTCATATAAATATACACAAAAGGGGCACAGTGGATAGAGCACTGGTCCTAGTTTCAGGAGGACCTGAGTTCAAATCTGGCCTCAGACACATAACACTTACTAGCTGTGTGATCCTGGGCAAGTCACAACCCTATTGCCTAGCCAAGAAAATAAATAAATACATATACACAAAATCTATGCAAAATAAGTTAAAGGTAATTTTGTTAGGGAGGCATGAGCAGCTAACAAGAGACCAGAATGAGATTATAGCTTAGTATAGAAACTAAATAATAACTCTTCCCACTTCTCTTGAAGAAAATTCCCTAACTTAACTGAGAAGTCTACAAAATCCTCCTTTTCTCCCACCCCCTCAACATTTTGGGGGGAGAGGTATCTAAAACCATGGTATACTAACCTATGAGGGCCCATAATCTCTTTTGGTCTCTTTATCTTTCCTTGCTTCTAGATAGATTGTGAGAGAATAACAAGTTGATGGGATGGGGTAGGTGGAGTAGCATTAGCAGTTAATGCTGTCCTTGGGGCAAAAGAATATAATATTGCATATTATCAATCATATGCTCTAAGAAGGAATTATTGATTATTCATAGGCTATTAAGACTTTTTTATGAATTTCCCACATTTTCCATGGGACAGATAAATGCATTTATCTCCTTGAGTGCTTATTTAGGAATCTGTGGAGACCTTTTACCTATATATGTGGACATCTAGGCACAAGAGTTATTTAGATATTTCCTAGAATAAACTATAAGCCAAAAAGAAACTAGTATTTTTAGGGTACCCCCTCAGGATTGGACCAGATCTGTATAAGCCCAGCATCAGGGGTGCTAGATATATGAGTTACAGTTGTAAATGCCTTCAACTCAGAATTAAAAACAGACAACTTTTTGCAAAATTCTCAAGAAAAGTATTTTATCCAAAAATATTTTTTTTCCATTAAGACATTATGGCCTATAACTATACCTATTAGACATGTTATAAAAAAGAAGCTATGTGAACAAAAATAGGTATGTTAATAATAATAATAAACCTCTAACTAATGATAAATAATAATAAACCTCTAACTTCTTTCTGTGTCAGGTTATGCAGATGTATCTCCCATTTTGCGGGATTGCCATAGCTAATGCTCAACTATTTGCTGCCTCAAGGAAGGAATATGACAGAAGCAGGGTAAGTAAAAAAACAGATCTATTGACAAGCCTCATATCTCTCTTTCCTTCAAGTTTTTATGAGTAATTTCATTTTTTAAAAATAGCAGATGATCTTTGGATGGGCCAAGAATATTTTATTTCAAAATAATTTATGTATAATCCTTCAAGTATGTGGTTGATGATACCCTTTAGGTTTAAGTAGAGATGGATACAAATAAATGGCTTTGATGTTGCTTCCTGATGGTGCCAATTTCATGGTTTCATTTCATAAGGAAAATTAATTTGAAATCCATGTTGTAAAACAGAAGTTATGTTCTTTCAGGCTTTGGATTTATAATGGTTATAAAACCTGAAAATTTCATAGTTCCTTCAAAGAACTCCGGGCTCTTGACCAATATGATCTAACTAGACCTCAAAGAATTTTCTCTTTATTGGACTTTTTTTTCTTTGCTGGGGCAATACTGTTAAATTTCACAAAATATATGACATATGCGTGGTGTAAACATCCCTACATTTTAAAGATTTACAAGTGGATACATTGGGGCAAAAAAGTTAAGCAATTTGGTTTTAGACCATTCTGGAAGTCATTAGTTGTGCCATCAAAGAGAGATTGGATGAACTTTGGAACTAATTAATTTAGAGTCAGAATGTTGGATTCCAAGCCCTGCTCTGTCTTTCATTATGTGAACCTGGACAAATCACTTCTCTGGGCCTCAATTTATTCATTTGTTAAAAACAAAAGAAAGAGAGTTGGACAGGATGTTTTCTAAAGTCCCTTCTAGCTCTAAATCTAGGATGCTATGAATTGTTTTAACCAAAATGATTAATCAGGTCTGTTAAACAGTTTATCATTTTTGTCTAAGAACCAGTTGGTAGATATTTTCATTGAATTAATTATCTATTTAACAGAATTGAAAGGACTGATTGATTATTTTATCATGTGTGGAGACATATTTTTATAGGAACACAGGCTTCCATGTCTTCCTTCCATTCTGTGGTTACTCCAAGTCGTTAATTTGAATTTTGTTTATCACTTCTTAGTTGTTACAATTTGTACTTTGAAATAATGAAATGGCCGTAATGGGATTTGCCATGGCAAAATCTAAGCCAGATCCAATTTTTCTCTAGAACAGGCTTCTTACAAGTCTCAAAGGCTATTTCTTTACAGGTACAACAATGTGGGAAGCTGAATGGTTGTTGAATAAAACACATAAATGCAAGAAGACAATCTGGATTATTAAAGAGAAAAAATGATTTTCTAAAATAACAGAAATTTTAAAAATCTGGGTTATCTGACTATTTATTTCAGTTATCCATTTTACTTTGTTTCCATAGACATAACCACAGGGACAAGAGTTTTTGCTATTGCTTTAGCACTTTGAGAATCTGTGGTGACTTCTTCCATGGTCTTAAATGATAATAACAACAAACAAAACTCACCTTTTATGGAGCTCTTTACAGTTTACAAATCAGTACTTCACAACAACCCTGTAACATAGATAGAACAAATATTACTGTTTCCATTTGATAAATAAGGAAACCAAGGCTCAGAGGTCAAGTGATTTGCCTAAAGTCACTCACCTAGTATATATATTAGTATATTTTAGGTTCTTTGATTCCAAGTACAAGTATTTTTTCACTACACTATTTTTTCATGAATTGCTGTGTTAAAAAATGATGTTGGCAAACCTTCTGGGCATGAATCTCTATGAAGGTAGCCAGGCAAGTTCTTGGGTGGCAGACCTACAGGCTATCACAGGGACTTTATTTAAAATACTTATAGCTGGGGAAAACTTGTGAGAGCTAAAGCTCTACCAGCATAGTCTTTGAGAACCTAGGGCATCAGAGTAGGGCTTTCAATGAGAATCCTTCTGTTATATTTGAATATGCCATCCATCATTGAATATTTCATATGTATGTGTATATATATATGTATATGTATATGTATACACACACATAACATCAATGGACTTTATTTCAGTGAGATTCAAATTTGAAAACTACACAGATGGGCTACATTTAACATGTCTTACAGTTCATGGATAAGTGATGAACTTCAGTTTGGAATGTTAGAATGTTAAATGCCTTGGAACAGAGCTGTTTCCTCAGTTTGGCAGTGCAGAATTCCATGTAACTATCAACTTATTCTTATAATGGCTCTGTGTGGGAAATGTTACCCAGGGTTTTTGGTTCTTGTTTAATTATTCTTTCAACTGGATTGGAATCTTGAATGCATTGGCCCATCTCATTAAAACTCTTTCCAATCTAAATAGGCTTAGAGAAGTTTCCAGATGTCTAACATTCCAAAACAACTCATACATTCTTTCAAAACAGCTCATTCATTTTTAATTGGAAATATACTTTTGTTGCCTGACCAAAGGTGGAGTTAATAATTTTTGAATGTTAATGGAAAAAATGCTGTGATATACAACAGCATATATTTGTTTAGAGTTCATTTGACTTGGAAAACTCATTAAACACTTTTGTTAGAAGTCAAGATCAGGGCTGAACATCATATCAAAACATAAAGAAACAAACCTTCTTTTGCCAAACCCTTAAATATTATCACTGATGGCACGTATTTGTTATTTTAATCTGATTTTTAAAAATATAATATCCATGAATGAATATTTGGGATAAAATTCTATGTTCAGATCTCTGAACAATATTAATTCATATTGAAATCTGTCATTAAAAGCTCCATCTGGGTTATTATTTTAATGTAAAGGAATCAAGAAAATTCTACTGGATAAAAGCTTACAGCATAATCTTTAGTTTTAAGTTTTGAAATATGAGCTTCCTTTGTAACAAATATACAGTGCATTTTACTGTTTTCACCAGTCTCTTTCTCTTCTTATGGATCCTTTTCCTAAATCAAACACCATCATTGACTGGACATTCTGGTGAACAGAGTGATATGGAACAGTACATGTTCTTTTTCTTGAGTAGAATATAATTTATATTTAATTCAACATGCATATGTATATATTATATATATACACACATATACAAATATGAATATGTATATGTGTATACACACACAGTTCCTAATATGTGAAAGGTACTTTTTTTAGGTGCTAAGGTTATACAACTATGAAAAATAATTAAGTCTCCTGCAGTCAAGTATCTTATAATCTGGTAAGGGGGAATAAATTATGTTACCAGATTACCACAATATAGGGAAGAATGTGAAAAGTATATAGGGGAAGCCAAACCATTAACTATGATAAGCATAAAGTTTGATATCCTACCTTTCTATAAGCTGTCTCCCCATACCTGGAATGCACACTTCCTTATTTTTGTCTCTTAGAATGCTTAGCTTCCTTCCTTCAAGGCTCAACTCAGGTTCTGTCTCTTTTGAGATGGCTTCTCCCATACTGCATATTAATCCTAATCCCCACATGTCCCTAACACCATCTCTTGTTAAATGTTCTTTCTTTTATCAAATTATTGTGCATTTTGTATAAAATTCCTGAAAATGGGGACTGTTTTTTATTTTGTTGTTATATTCTCACTGTCTAGCATGGCACTTTGCATATTAAAGGCAACTGATTATTGCATGTTGAATGTCCTTTTCAGTTCATGGTGCTAGATATATGTTAATGAAAATGAGGCCCTTGGTTTTTTTTTTTTTTTTTAGGCAATTGGGGGTTAAGTGACTTGCCCGGGGTCACACAGCTAGTAAGTGTCAAGTGTTTGGTCTGAGGCCAGATTTGAACTCAGGTACTCCTGACTTCAGGGCCAGTGCTCTATCCACTGTGCCACCTAGCTGCCCCAGAGGCTCTTGATTTTGAACAAGAGGACAATACTTATTACCAACGGGAAAGAAATGACCTATTTCTTTTAATATTTTATTAAAATAATAAAAGAAATATTAATATTTCTTAATAATTCCATAGGTTTTATGACCTGTTAAATCAGTATGATTAGATAGGAATTATGAGTCTATTATTGATAAGATGGTGACTTTGTTTTTAGTTGATTTGTGCAGTATTATTATGGGAGAAAGAATTCCTAGGCTGAAGATCACATGATTCCTGCTGCATAGAATGCTACTGTCACCAATTTTTGCCTTGTCCTACCAAAGGGTAATTTACCTAACAAAATAATAGAAATACATAACAAACTAGGAAAGACTTTAGGGGTTGGGAGAAGCCATGTATACTTTTAGCAAAGGAGCTCCATGTTCTAAAGCCTTCTACTTCAGAAATTATGATCCTATATGAAATATTATTTTAAAGACTTGGAATTTCCTTCCAGCGTAGTATTTTGTTAGTCCTACATCCACCAAACTAAATTTCTTTCATCTTCTACAGGCACTGCTCGAGGTGGTTAATGACCTCTTTGAAGAACAAACTGACCTGGAGAAAATTGTTAAGAAAATCATGCACCGGGCCCAGACGCTGTTAAAATGTGAGCGTTGTTCAGTCTTGCTCCTAGAGGACATTGAATCACCAGTAAGTGCCTTCAAGATTCCATATAGATTTGAGCAGGTATAGTAATAGGATAAAACTTTGGCTATTTTGAGTTGTGCTCATGTACCTGTGCCTTGAATCACTCTCTTTATAATGATACTGTATTTGAGAAAATACAGAGTCTTACCACTGGACAGTCCATAATGCACAAACTAGTTAGGGAACTTTGCTCACCAAGTGAATCTTTTCCCCTTGTAAACCTTTAACTTAGTCAAAATTATGTTGTCTCCTTGTGGGTTTAAAATGTTTACCCCTTGAGGTATCTATTTGGGGAACTGGTATTTTCCTTAAACTCTGGGATTATGGTCCAAGAAGATGACTAGATAGAGAAACTTTGATAAGGGTGAAGAGAGGGGGAGAGGGAAAAGAAAAGGATATCTGAATTATCATTAAATGAGTTCAACTTTCCTTGAAGGGATGAATGGGAGTGCCAGGTACTACCTTCAATACTGCATATTAATGAAGAAACTCTGTCTCAGTTATGTCTGATTGGGGTGGCTCTTTGCAAGGGCTTCTAACCCCACTGCTACCCATAAGAGCAAAAGCTCACCATTTTTCTGTTCCTCATATTTATCTCACAGTCCTGTGGGCCTGTCTAAATAATCCTAATCACTTCTCTTTATGCTGTTTTGGCTCACTTATGCATTACTTCCCTTTCTTTGCTTAGCCAAGTAAAGCAAATGTATGCATTTTAATTTCCTAAGGCGATGCTGTCTACTGGTGTCTCCTTTCATGGATGCTGTCATTGTTGCTTGCTTAAAAAAATTTAAGACTGGATCTTCCCTTCTTGGCCAGGCATGCCTACTCAAGGCCAGATATCATCTGCAAGTGATCCCAGATATCCTGTAACTGATCAGCAAGGAAGCTTTGACCTGTGCCAATTCAGACCTGGGCTGCTCTACCCCTCATTAGGCAATATGGTAACACCTCTGCTCTTGGGAGCTCACCATGTTGATGCCAATGTGTAGACCCCAATGAGCACAGCCCAATGTAGCTCAGATATCCAAAGCTCAAGCTATCTGTAACCTTCATCCTTCATGATAAGTGGTATTAAAGGAGTGTGCTACCATGTCCACCCCTCTATGGTTGCTTGCTTTTTGTCTTGCCCAAGACTCAATGGTTATTTTCTGTGTGGACAAATGTGACAGCTACATAATGATGCCTACACCTGTAGGGAGGGAGGGGGAGAAATCTACAGATTTAATCTCTTGATCATGTGGCTTCCTTAGCTACCCTGTCATTTCACTAGTGACTGAGGAGTCTATGGGCAGTTAGGCAAAACACACAAGTGAAGCAGGCAAAAGGTCTTTTTCCCTTGGTTCATCAGGAGATAATGTCTCTATCAAGGAGAGAATCAAACCCATTGCTTTGAGACATCTGTGCCTACCTCACTTGGGTATTATGAAGATCACTTTCAAATTTTATCAAGGGCCTTTGACTCCTGGATAAAAAGAGCTCTATAAATGCAAAACAATAATAAAATTAATGATTATCATCAATCTAACAACAGAGAAGTTAAATTGTCTAAGCTGTTGGTATCCTTGCTTAATATCCTTGCTGAGAACTCTCTTCAAAGAGCTAGCTAGAATAGTTTAGCAATTAAGAACCCCTCCAATGTCCCATAGAGATCTATATTTGACTGCACTTTGTTTAGAAAAGATAATTGCTTTTGGACTTCAGAATTATTTTCCTCAGAGTGCAGCAACACTATAGGAAAGTTTTGAGATTTCAATGAAGCTTAAGAACTGAAGTTCACAAGGATTTTTTAAAAAACAATATATTAGACATATATGTTCAAGGCTGCCTCCCCCTATAAGAAACTTGTGCTTCTGTCTAATCTATAATAAATAGCCCTGGATAACAATGACTCATAGAATTTTATTGAGAGCCTAACATTTAAAAAGTGAAGTTTTTGCTAAAAAAATACAGATACAAAATGTTCAGTGGTCTTGACTTTGCAGCACAAAAAGGAAAACAACCAATTTTTAAAAAGCTAGCTGTGGATCTACTTACAAATAAAATTGTATCGATTACATCAAGCCCCAGAATATCACAGAATTCCTGAATGAATTTCACAATCATCAAAAGAGTTTGGCTTACCCGTCTGCATCGGAAAGACCAAATGGGGAAAGACTCCTCAAACTACAATATACAGTTGAATAGACAACCTACAGATTTCATCCATCAATATAAGTATCTTGAATGGACATTACAGAGACAAGAAATTGAGTCCATAATTGAATAGGGGGAAGAGAGCAGAGTGGATTGCTTTTGGGAAATTTCAGAGTTCTTTTAATGATCTCAAGTTTCTCCCTGAAACAAAGGCCCATAATTTTAAATACCAGCGTTATTCTTAGAATTCAGTATGGTTAGGAGCCATAGAACACTGTAGTTCCCTAGGAACTGAGGATCACCTAAAAGATGTTGTAGAGGCATTTGTTTGTTCACTTGTTTCAGTCATGTCTGACTCTTCATGACCCCATTTGGGGTTTTCTTGGCAATGATACTGGAGTGGTTTGCCATTTCCTTCTCCACGTCATTTTACAGATGAGGAAACTGAGGCAAACAGGTTTAAGTTAGTAAGTATCTGAGGTCAGATTTGAACTCATGTCTTTCTGACTCCAGGCCTGGCACTCTATCCACTGCACCACCTAACTGCCTTGATGGAAAGTCAAATACTGGTTTTGAGCATGTTAGAACACATTACAAATAAAGAATTACAGAGGAATAGTAGTGTAAAGAATGACATTATGGAAATGAATGAACTGGTCAGAAGGGGAGAATGAGAGATTACAGATGGACAATCCACGCATTGCCCTGATATTCTTGATATGTCAGAAAGACTTGAAGAAGTTTGCCAGCATGTTGAGTGGACCACCAATGATGAACTTATTTGGAGACATGGGCAAATTACCAAGAGATCACAAATCCATTTGTGTATTTGAGTTGTGGAAACTTCAATTCATTGAGATGTTAATTTAGGACTCCCTGTTAAGGGCAAAATCTTCCCTCTTAAGATACAGACATTTAAGTGAAAATTGGTCACTCAGTCAATAATCAGTTTATTGCCTCTGTCATCCCTATTCTTTTATTTATCTTCAATCTCTTATTGTCTACTAGGAAAAGCAAAATTGCCTCTTGAGATGAATAGACATTTAGGTGTACATTAACTAGTCAGTGAATAGGCAGCATATTTCTTTTGTCATCCCTACTCTCTTAGTTATTTTCAATCTCTTCCTGCCTACTTGTTTCTTCCCTATAAACATTCCCATGTCTCCCTCATCCTCAAAAACCCTCACTTGATCCTTCAATCACCACTAGCTATCATCTCATATCTCTCCTCTTTTTTGTGGCTAAATGCCCTAAGAATTCATTTATAATCAGTGCCTTCATTTCCTTTCCTCTTTCTCTCTCCTTAACTCTCTGCAGTCTGGTTTCTGACCACCTTATTCAACTGAAACTACTTACTTCAAAGTTACCAATGATCTTTAAATTACCAAGTCCAATGGCCTTTTCTCAGTCCTCATCTTTCTTGACTCCTCTGCAGTCTTTGACACTGTCATCCTTTTCTCCTGGAAACTCTCTGTCCTCTAAGTTTTCATGCCATTGCTTGTTCTCCTCCAACCTGTCTGACCTCTTCTTCTCAGTCTTCTTTGCTGTATCTTCCTTTAAGTCAGGCTTATTAGCCATGAGGATCCGCAAGGTTCTGTCCTGGCCCTCTTTTCTTCTCCCTCCATACTCTTTCACTTGGTGATCTCATCAGATCCCATATATTGAATTATTATCTTAATGCTGATGACTCACATAACTATTTATTCAGCCTTAACCTCTCCCCTGACCTCTAGTCTTGTATCTCCAACTACCTATTAGACATTTCAAATTGGATGTCTCAAGCTCCTCAATTTTAAACTCAACATGTCCAAAACTGAAAACAGCATCTCTCCTTCCCCTGCCCAGATCTTCCCTCCAGTGAACTTCCCAGTTACTATTGAGGACACTGCCATTCCCCCAGTCACCTAGGCTCACAACCTCAGTGTAATCCTAACCTTCACTCTTTCTTGTCTCTCCACATCCAATCTTCCCAAGTCTTGTCATTCTACCTTCATAAAAACTCTTATACACACTCCACTCTTCATCTCTGACACTGCCACCACTCAAATTTAGACCATCATCATCTCATGCCTCTAGTATTATAATAGCCTTCTGGTTGATCTCCCTGCCTCAAGTCTCTCCCTATTCCAATCTGTTCTTCACTCAGCTGTCAAAGTGGCCTTCCTAAAGTGAAGGTCTGACTATATCACACAACTCCCTTCTCCCCCATTCAGTAAACTTCAGTGGCTCTCTATCACCTCCAGAATCAAATAAAGAATCCTCTGGCATTCAAAGTACAGCATAACCTGGCCCCTGCTACCTTTACAATCCTCTTATCCTTTACTCTCCAGCTTCCCCTTCATAATCTGTGGTCCAGTGATACTGCTCTCCTGTCTGTCTCTTGCACAAGACACTCCCTGTCCCGACCATGCATTTTCCCTGGGTGTCCCCGTTCCTGGAATTTTCTCCCTTTCCATTTTCATCTCCTGACTTTCTCTGGCTTCCTTCAAAATGCAGCTAATATCATACCTTTTATCTTTATCTTTTGCAATCCCCCTTAATTCTAGTGCCCTTCTCTCTGTTGATTATTTACAATTTATCTTGTGTATATGTTGTTTGTACATAATTGTTTTCATGATGTCTCTTCACTAGACTGTGAGTTTCTTGAGAGCAGAAGTTGTTTTCTCCATTTCTTCATATCCCCAGCAGTTAGCACAGTGCTTGGTACATAGTAGGCACTTAATAAATGCTTATTGACTGACTAATTTATCCAGCATCACACAACCAGTAGGTGTCAGTGACGAGCTAACCCAGACACCAGTTTTCTGCCTAGCAGCTATAAATATAAATGGGAAACACTGATCATCTTCTTCATTCTCTTGTCCAAAGCA